CCCTGTCCACGAAAATATTGATTTTTAACTGCAGGGGTTGGTTCCAAACATATGGGGGTTAAAAGACTATCGTCCCAAAAGGCTCCATATATAAAAAAATTCATCAGTAAAAGTGATAACCGAGCGGCATGGCCTTCAGGTTTACCCATTAGTTTGCATTCGGGAGGACGCCGGTTCGATTCCCGGTTCGTCAGCTTTGGTCCAAATTTTTATATGGTTTCCTTGGATCACTTAAATAGGCAAATACTGGGGCAGTAATATTTCACAGATAATCTTTCATTCTCTTCTGTCTTCATTTCGTCCGTCTCATCTTTCTCACCCGAACCGCCACCCACCCATTCCCACGATTCCTGAAAGGAGGTTGAAGAGGGTCTTCCGCCCTATCTTCCGGCGTAGTCTGAAGGGACTGCCTGCCCACCAGCATTAGTGGCTGATGGGAATTAAACACCCTAAAGTTGAAAGGTGTCAATTGAGTTTCGACGTCTTGTCAGAACGTTACAGAATGCCATAGATTTGTCTTGAATGCCCTTTTAGCAGGTTCGAGAACATTCCCGAATAACTAATTTTTCTTGAGCGAAGCAAGTTAATCCGGTTTGTTTACAATAAATAAAAAATGTAAGGGTTTTATTACATGTCATTAGAATGTACGTATGTACACTCAACAATTATACACCCAAATATGGACATTTTAAATCCACCCATTTCATTGCAATTGTTCTGATTATTCAGTCGAAATAGATTTTTAATCCAAGATTCTTATAAAAAGAAAATATCCTGGATGTCGAAAGTACGGCTCAGTAACACTTTCTACAATTCCTAGGAAATGTATGTTATTCCTAAAGTCGCCCGGAAATGGGTGAAATAAATTATATTAAAGACATTTCCTAGGAAATCTATACATTTTCTAAATAGCAATCGGAAGTGTATTACAGGTAATATTAAATAGGCAACAAAACGACAGGCTGATATCGTACATTTCCGGTACCATTTATACAACGAATTAATTAATGTGCTTTTTCATCTTTAGATTGAATTCAATGCTTACTTCGAAATTTCAGTGTATACATTCTGATATATTTCAAGATTTCTTTTGTGTTTAATTTTACAATTTCTTTGTCGTTGTAGTTCATCATAAAATCTATTGTTGTGCACCTTCCTTTGTTGAATTTTCGAAGAGCTTAGGTTTATTACTTAATTGCCTTTTTTAATGTATTTCTAAACACGTTATAATATCTAGGTAGTAATAGTGGAACCCCTACAGTTTCTGTTAACTGAACGTCGATCCCTCTAGACGTCTAGACTATGTCACTTTCTGTATTATTAGTAGCTCACATCCTCCACTTCCTTTTTCTTTGAAACCGACCGAAATACTTTCTGAATTTTAACTAGGATAAGAAATTATAATCAGTATCGAATCAGCATCAATATCGTTCAAACCATCTTTGAATTATCTTTTTCTGTCGAACATCTATCAATCTCGATTTCCATATTTTCAATTATCAATAATAAGATGAGCATATACTGTTACAATTTAGCGAATCCATCAGCTATATTTCTTCTATAATTATAAAAACTGTTGTTTTTAAATAATAAAAAACCCCTAGTTGACCTTGTTTTTACACCAACAGTTTTAGTTTTCAATTAGTACTGTACCATTAGGTAACCCAGTTATGCCGATTGAGTGTGTGTACAAGGTAAAGACACTTTTTTACTGTTTTCATTTGGTAATATCTTTTAAACTCACTGAATAAAGTTCAATCAATTTTACAGAATCCAGTCCTTCAATCTAGAATCTAATTTTTTGTTACTTTTTACATCCTTGCTAAGGTCATACGATTGGTGTAAATCGAATGTTATCAGAAAATGCAGGGATCAAATAGAATAATAAAAGTTCATATAATACAAGAGAGAAAAGTAACAAAGTTAATACAAAGCTACATGAAATTGTAATTTATGATAAGATATCGTTTTTTAAAACAATCGCCTAAATCTATATTTAAATGTTATATATTTTACGATTGTTAAAATTAGGCGTAGAACAAGTTTCTAATTAGCACTTTTTTGCAACTTTTCGTGTTTTTATGAGGCGTTTATGGTTTAATTAATACAATCTAATCGTTGATTCTATTGTAGGAATTTGTGAGAAAATTTTGTTTTATGAATCCAGCAAACAATAGTACCTAACTGCTCTTATTTTTACAAAAATTTAATTTCATATATTCAATACGCTTCATTCCATTTCTGATTGTTCCGCTTCAATTCTAAACATTGGAGATAATAAAAGTTTAATTTCATTTCTCATTGTTACGCTTCAATTCCAAGCACTGGAGACAATAACGAAAACCAATAGAAGCCAACAGTGTATTAATAAGACAAACAACGAACAATGGCAGTGTGGTTACATTAGAGTAATAGAATTACACGTTATTCCTGTTCAGTTATTGAATTACGTTTTCAAAAATTTAATTATAAATCTATTAAAAAATATTCTTTGTACGAAGGAGTCTATCGAAGTCAATTAAAAATAGACGTGATAGGTTGGTAGGGCACCTTCTCAGGCATGAAGGTCTAGTCACAGACATATTAGAGGCAGAAACAGGAGTTAGGAGGGATTGAGGTAGACCTAGGTTAGATGACTGTTGGGTTGTTCTAGTTTTAGGGAAATGCAAAGATTAGCTCAGGATAGGAAAGAGTAGAGGTACGTGTCCAACCAGTCTTAGGACTGACGACCTTATGATGATGACTTGTACATTACACCATACCACCTGCCCCTTTTTATGAAACAACACTTGTGTTGAGTCTCAATATTCATTTTATTATGTGTATATTTTCGCCATTTAGCTTTGTATTTCTAGTGGAATAGTTATTCTATTATTATTATAGTATTTTCAAATGTATACATTTTACAACGGTAAATTTGGGAATTTGTTGTTTGCCGACCATCGAAGTTCAAAAGATTTTATTGACCATTGTGTCGAGTTATATTATAATATTCAGTTTCTTCTATTCCAACACGTATTTACCCCAATAAGGTTCAATTGGTTTTTCCCTTGGGTTATGTTTCTCAGAAGTCGAGGCAAACGTAAATTTCCGAAAACGCGTTGCACGCGTGTTGGTACCATAAGTACCTGTTAATGCCCCTCTGATACTCCCACTATCTTTCTACCCTTCTGTATCTCTGTCTCGCTTTCATAATTAACCAACGATCTTCTACTTTTTTTTCAACCAATCAACCTTTTCAAATTTGACTTTCATTCAACCCCCACATTATTTTCTCACTTTTCTATTTTTCTAATTTTCAAAAATTTAGTCATTTTCACACAGTTGCAATTTGGTCTTTAGTGTAACCAATCTTTCGCTCTTTCGGTTCGTGTTCTATTTTCATTCACTTTCAATTTTATACAGTCCACTCTACAAAAGTTTAGTTTTTTGTTGTCAATCTGTTTTGTTAAAGTGTTTGTTAACCGTTAATTAAATTTTTTATATCAACGGTTACATTTGCGTAATTCTAAAAAGTGCCCCTANGGTGCAAAACGGGACGGTTGTCATCAAGGAAAAGAAAAGGGTGGAAGCATTCGGAATATGGTGTTACAGGTTCCCTAGAGATAAATTTTCAGTCTCTCTCCAGCCTCTCAGAGTCTTTCAGCGTCTCTCACAGTCTTTCACAGTCTCTCAGTTATTGCCTAGGTGTTTTTATGGATCTCTCGAACTGAGAGACTCGAACGATAAAATTGTTAAATCAGAGATTCGAGTCTCTCACAGAGAGACTGAATGAATAAAACCGAAAAATTGAGAGACTCTAAAGTCTCTCGTAGAAAGACTGGGATCTCTGAAATATGTTGAACTTAGAAAATTTTAACCATGTCTATCTAGACACCACTTATTGAGAGATTCGAGTCTCTCGTTCAGAGACTGGATACGAAATGAGGATCTCTCTATGAGCAACTCGAGTCTCTCGTTCAGAGACTGGATACGAAATGAGGATCTCTCTATGAGCAACTCGAGTCTCTCATTCAGAGACGCTAAACAATTTTTTGACAGTCTCTCGACAGTCTATCCAAGCGAAACCAGAGAGACTCGATGAGAGACGGAAACTCGAGTCTCGCTTTCAGAGACTCTGAGAGACTGAACATTTTTATCTCGCATTACCATGGATAAAGAAAGTTAGAAATGAGGAGATATTAGAATGATCACGAGAACAAAGGGTTCTTTAGAAGTCAGTGAGAAATAGGCGAGATAGGTTGGTAGGACATGTTCTAAGGTATGAAGGGTCAGTAAGAGTCAGAGTATAAGCAAAAATAGCAGTTAAGAGGAGAAGAACTAGACCTAGATTAGAACGCTGTTCACAAATACTTAAGGATGTGGGATGTTTCAGTTTTAGGGAAATGCGAAGATTAGCTCAGAATAGGAAAGAGCGGAATCAGTCTTAACACTAACGACCCTATGAAGATGATGATGATTATAATGGTCAAAGTAGTAAAAATCAATGAATTAAAAAATTACATTATTTGTACAACCATATACTCAAAAAGTATATTGTGTAATAGAGGGGCCAAATTTTTAGATTTATGTTATGAGTTATGTTTTTGTGTGTTTCGTTTATGTACAGAAATAATTGATATTATTATTATTATTGTTTATAAGAAAATTTCAATACAATACTTATTCATGTTTAAAGTTTATAAAGATACGTAACAATCTTCAAACTAAATGTTCAAAGATCAAGAAAAGAGTAGTCAAGACCAAATTGCAAGACCCATGAGTGTTTTTGCTCATCACTATTTTACTTTCTAAGGGTTCATTCAGGCCGTCCGTTATATAAAATTTAGGTTAATTCATTTGAAAGGAAAAGTGCTACTTTTAAACGTTCCAATACACACAATATATAGCAGTTGATGAATGTATCGATCGTTTAGGTAATGGTTTATCAATACAAGGGTTTTATTCATGAACATAGTAAATGGTTTTTGTACCCTTCAACATAATCAAAAATAACTTACCTGTTCTAAAATTGACCACGATATCGATTAAAAATATGGTGTCTGATAGACAATTGAAGGCAATCCACCGCGTGCTCAAGTCATCGTTAAAAAAACTGATAGCAACGGGGAGGATTATAAGATTGGCTACCAAAAGGAGTAACATGCACAAATCCCAGTAGAACCTGTAACAAGTATGACACAATTAGTTATGCCTACGTAACCTTAAACAGTGTACGTAATTACTACTACTTATACAAAATATTTTTAAAGTTTTCTATTTTTTCGTTTCTCTAAAAATAGATAGCATATAGTATTACAACACTACACTGTTTACCATCACTTAATAAATATTAAGAACGATGAATTGTAATATCAATATACATAAGAAGTGTCAGAAAAATGAGCGAAAATGTTATTATTAATCATTTGGGTCACTATAGCCGGATATAATTTCTTGAGAATCAGTCATAATAAACGATATGTCATTTTAAATGAAGTCATTGTATCCCAACTTTCCCATAGAGAATTTAATATGAAAACTAAACTTAACACTGCAATTACTTCATATTAAGCGGTTGGTTAATATAGGCGGAGTCATAATAAACGAATTCCACTGTACTTGTCTGTTGTATGCTCCGCGTAACGAACCGCTACTGATATTTACACCCCTTCACCTTGCGCTCTCCCCAACGCTCTGGTACGATTTAATTTATTACCGCCTGTTATTTGATGATCGTACTATACACAGCTTGTAGAGTTTGCTTTTCTTTTATTACTGTAGTGCCGATTGCTTCATGAATCTTAAATAAATTACAGTGGCGCTGACAGGTAATAAAAGAGAGACACACTCTACAAACTGTTTAAATAGACATAAAGACGCACAAATATAAAGTACCAACGGTGTTCGTTACCTGCGACTAGCCGAGAAAGATGTGGGTATCTTTCTCTCCCTTGTGGTAGGTATACAGATTTTAATAATAAATAATACTTTGTAATCCAAAACCGGCAAAATGAAACTGAAGCCATTATACGAAGGATTAACAACTTAATCCAAAGCAAAGACGATGGCGTACCCTTCCTTAACAATTTAGCTTTTCTATTTCAGAAGTTTACCTAACCCTGGTTTAAGGGATTATACTTTAAAACACAGATTGTTACTCAAAAGAAATATTTATGGTAAATTAGTAAATGTTTTGAAACAAGTGAATATATAAGTTCATCGTTTAAGGCCCTTAAAAATTCTTTGTAACGATCAATCAGGTACTGTTTTAAGTTTGGTTAGTCATTTTTTATTTTTGATATTTCTTAATGAAGGAAATAAATTTCAATTTTTTCAATTACATCATTATTTCCTAGTCTCATTAACAAGGTAAATAACTCATTAACTTTGAGATAAAATCAAAGCAAGAGTTTACTCCTATATTAAATTATATTCAAAACTTAACAGGTCAATTGAAAAGTCCCCGGCCTAAAATAGTAAAACACATTTTTTTTGCAAAATTCGTTTTTTTTATTCAACATAATTCCCTTCAAGGGTGATACACTGATTATAGCGATCCTCCAACTTTTCGATACCATTTTTGTAGTACGATTTGTCCTTTGCTTCAAAATAGGCCTCAGTTTCGGCGATCACCTCTTCATTCGACGAAAATTTTTTCCCAACGAGCATTCTTTTGAGATCTGAGAACAGGAAGTATTCGCTGGGGGCCAGATCTGGACAATACGGTGGATGCGGAAGCAATTCGAACCCCAATTCATGAATTTTTGCCATCGTTTTCACTGACTTGTGAGACGGTGCATTGTCTTGGTGAAGCAGGACTTTCTTTTTCTGCAAATGCGGTCGTTTCTCGGCGATTTCGTCCTTCAAACGGTCCAATAACGCTATGTAATAGTCGCTGTTGATGGTCCTTCCTTTTTCAAGGTAGTCAATGAAAATTATTCCACGCGCATCCCAAAATACAGACGCCATAACCTTGCCAGCCGACTGTTGCGTTTTTGCACGCTTTGGAGCGGCTTCATCGTGTGCAGTCCACTCCGATGACTGTCGATTGGACTTCGGAGTGAAATGATGGAGTCATGTTTCATCCATTGTCACACATCGACGCAAAAACTCGGGTTTATTACGCGTGATCATCTTCAAACTGCTCTGAATCATCAACTCGTCGTTGTTTTTGGTCAAAAGTGGGCTCGCGCGGCACCCACTTTGCACAGAGCTTTCTCATACCCAAATATTCGTGAATGATGTGATGTATACGTTCCGTTGATATCTGTAGAGTGTCTGCTATTTCATTCAATTTCAATTTACGGTCATTCAAAATCATTTTGTGTCTGTTTTTAATGTTTTCGTCTGTAACAGCCTCTTTTGGGCGTCCACTGCGTTCACCGTCTTCGGTGCTCATTTCACCACGTCTAAACTTAGCATACCAATCCTTGATGGTTGATTTTCCTGGGGCAGTGTCCGGAAATTCGTTATCAAACCAAGTTTTTGCTTCAACTGTATTTTTTCCCTTCAAAACGCAATATTTTATCAACACACGAAATTCCTTTTCATCCATTTTTTTCACAATAACAAAAGTTGCTTCACTAAAAATGCTATAATTCACAAACTAATGATCCGACAGCCGTCAAATTGATAGACGCCTCTTTTGAAGGTTAGGACTAACTGAAAATCATATGGATTTAGTTCTGGTGCCGCCAACTATGTGTCAGGCCGGGGACTTTTCAATTGACCCTATATTTGTTAGTTGATATCGTTTTACAAGTAACCTTTATACTAAAGTTTGTTCTCGACTCAGCGGTTTGACCCGCATCTTGATCGATATTTCAAATAACGATATGTAAGTATTGAATTTAAAAAAATCTTATCTTAGGGTTTTACCTTACACTTATTGGTAGAAAGGTTTTATGATAATGTATATATTTTCTTTGCCTACACATTGTCCAAAATTTAAAATCCTGGAGGTTTAGAGTGTGCATTGACATATCAGTCAGTCGGTCAGTTTATTCATACTTAGGGATGTATAAATTAGCTAGTACTGATTAAGAATTAAATTAAAGTAATAAAACATTCTTCAATCCTTTGTAAATATTTAAATACTTAATATTTTACAAAAAGTTAGTCACTAACACTGCAAAACTTACTAAAAAAACATTAGAAGAATTCGATAATGCATTAAAAAAAACATATACATTCTCATCATTTTTAATAAGGTACGAGAGGTGACAACGGGAACAAGGGCGAAACGTACTTGTTAAGTCACAGATCCGTCGAACTAGTGTATATATTAATACTGAGTAAAACACTTTGAAATTCAATTGTAATATTAAATATTTAAGTGAAAATCATTTTTAATTTTTATTCATTACTAGCTGTCCCGGCAGACTTCGTACTGCCCCAATCAATATATAAAAGACCTAAATTTTTGTATAAAATAAACTTAGTTGACAAATGTCAAATATTATGGTTGCGTTCAGAAATTTAATTTGACAGAACTTAAGATTTATCAATCTACATAAAAATAATCTGAAAGATAGTTAACAACTTTCATATTTATTCACCTTTTAAACCTTCCCTGGACTTCCACAAATAATTCAAGACCAAAATTAGCCAAATCGGTCCAGCCGTTATCGAGTTTTAGCGTGACTAACGAACAGCAATTCATTTTTATATATATAGATAAANCCCTGGACTTCCACAAATAATTCAAGACCAAAATTAGCCAAATCGGTCCAGCCGTTATCGAGTTTTAGCGTGACTAACGAACAGCAATTGATTTTTATATATTATATATATAAGAAGAAGATAAATTACCTCAAGTTAATGAGGAAAAAGTGTTGCTGTTGTCACCTCTCGTAGCTTAGTGATCAGAGCATTGGTGCGTGAAGCCAAAGGTCGCGGGTTCGATTCCCGGCGAGGGTGGGCCAACAGTAACAATTTTTCCTCATAAACGTGAGGTAATTTACAGCAAATAAAAATTAAAAATGAATTTGATATTTAATATTAACCGCTATTGAATTTCAAAGTGTTTTATACAGTATTATATATTCATAAGAACGAATTCATGAAAAGTAAAACGTAAATAATATAACCGAGTTGCGAACTTTAAATATTCAAATTGTTAAATTCAGTAGAATAATATTTGTAAGCGAAAGACGGAAAAACCGTTTTATTTCATTAAATATTCAGGATCCGTTTCAGCTGAATTGTGAACATTATTAGGGCTGCTGAAATGACAAGAGAGCAATAAATGTGAGAAAGAAAAGACTAAATAATGCAAGGAACGTTTATAAATACCCAATCAAATGACATCAAAAGGCTATCGGAAACGTTTCGAAGTAGAACGTTTTCCGATTTCCAGCACTTTTTGTGACGATTATACACGACGAAATTGTATTCTTGATGAGGCAACTGTTGGCGAAGCCAACTAGATTGGTCGAGAATAATAAGCAAAAGAAGCAGAATTAATTCAACGGAAATTGGGGAAAACCGACGTCAGCATAAGGAAAAGGCCCGCAATCGATGAGGTTGTAGGTATGAAGAAAAACAGACCTAACGACCCCAAAATTAAGCACCTCCGCATTATTACTTCCTTGTTTTATACTCACTATTTTATTTATCCTGCCTAGTAAATTGTTATCCTATTAAAGATCGATTATAACAGCCATTAGAAAGAATCTTTGTATTTGCTTCTTCCGCTGTGTAAATTAGTTCATAATGACTGCCACTCTGAAGACAATTCAAGTTCGGCCGCAATTTTTTAAATTAGTAAACCAAATGTTGTTAGCAATGTAGGGTTGATGAAATATTACAAACAAAGGCGAATGTAGCTGTGTCTTTATGGACTACTGTTTAAGTATTCTAAACTAAAAGGATAAAACAGAGACCAGAAATTTGGGAGAGACCTGAATAAAACAATATATACGTAATTTTAAACCTTCATTAAAAATTAAATACTTATATTGAGCCTGCTTCTTTTCAGTGAAAACAAATTAATTACTTCATATACAGTGTAAACTCTATATAACGACACTTAAGAAACTGAACATTTTTCGGCGTTATAAAGAGTGGTCGTTAAATGGAGAGAAATAAAAGATATTATTTTACTATTCTATAATAATATGCATTTACCAATATAGTACACATTTTACACACGAACATTATTATTCATACATTGCGT